CACTCTCTGTCACTTGGGCTACAGTGTGGTGGTGTCAGCCTAGCATCACAGCAACCTCAAACTCCTGGGCTCAAGCGATCCTCCTGCCTCAGCCTCCCAAGCATCTGGGACTACAGGCACATGCCACCATGCCTGGCTAACTTTTTCTATTTTTAGCTGCCCGGTTAATTTTTTTTTCCATTTTTAGTAGAGACAGGGTCTCGCTCTTGCTCAGGCTGGTCTCAAACTCCTGACATCAAGGAATCCTCCTACCTTGGCCTCCCAGAGTGCTAGGATTATAGGCATGAACCACCATGCTCAGCTGACCCCCTGCTTTTCAGAAGCTGGGCCCAGGCTCCTTGAAATCTATCTTTAGATATCACCACTCAGCGTTCCCTGCTTCCCACTTACCTGGCATGAGATCCACATTAGGGGCTGAAACTTTATAAGACACACTTCAAGGTGTACAAGGAATTTTAATAATTATTAACCTTTCTGCTTATCAGTCTACACCCGTTGCCAGCTTCACAGTCTTACAGGGATAAGAGGGGGTCAGGAAGGGTGGGCAGCCTCTATAAATATTTGGAAGGCTGGGTAGTGTTAAAAGGGCAAAAATGTTCTGGCTACAGATGACAGGAGAACCCAGAACTCACTCCTCCAGGCTCTTGCGGAGCTCCCCTTCACTTTCCTCTAGTCGCTGCTGCAACACGGAGTTCTCTTCCACCTTGGTGTCATGTTGGCTTCGGAGCGCTTCTAGGTTTGCTCTCATTCTCTCCCTCTCTTCTTTGATGTTCTGTTGATTCTAACGTGAATCAGTGTGATTTTAACATACTCCCACAGAAGCCCATTCTAAACTCTATTGGACGCCATGTCTTTGCACTTAAATGTTATTAAACAACTTAATCAAACTACATAATTAAAGGCATAGGAGTTTGTAACTAGAAAGAATATTAAATATTTATATTTCATGAATTGTAATACTTGTAAAAAGAAAAAACACAAACACAGCTAAACCTCACTCTGCTGTGTCTATTATTTAGCTCAGATGTTTTACACGCATTTAGTTTCCCGTTGGCCTACCTGAATCCAGCAGCATTTCTTATACTCTGTCAAAGCAAACAGTCTCTAAATGCTGTGGTTACTTAAAAATAAAATTTATTTAGATAGCAGCAGCCAAACACAGAGGAATTTACTCAATGATGAGAGGAATGTTTCTTTTGGAAAATGGCTTTCCCTTCACCTGGGTATCCTAAAGTGTATAAAATATTCTTTATCAACCAAGACAGAAATGGATAAAATAGCATAATGGGAAAACCAGATACCTTGACTTCTAGTTGAAGCTGTTGCTGAAGTTCAGCCACTTCTACAGTCAACTTGTTTTTCTGTTCCAATAGATCTTTTATTTCAGATGAGGAATTAGAAGCCTATAATTAAAGGCAAAGATATCCTAATTCAGATGTTCAGGATGCTTTATTTTAATTCTCTTCCCTCCCCAAATATAATCTGTGCAGTAACAGATGAGGCATAACATTAAACATCTTAAGACCCAATTCAAATGTCAACCCCTACAGAGAATCTTCCCTGACTTTACAGGCAGAGCTAACCATGCCAGCCCCCTTGTGACTCCACTGAACTTTATTTTACAGCATGTACCACAGCCACAGGAATTATTTCATCAGATATCTCAACACTAGTCCAATATGACTAAAACTTGTATAGGTGGCATATATATTAGAAGTCCTTAATGTACTCTGTAGAATATTATAAAATATTAACATATTAAATGTAGGATAAGTAAAACTTAAAAAGCTTCTTCATAATAAATTCTAGATTCCAGTCCATAGAAATCAGTGGTTAACAAAAAATCAGCAACAAAACCTTCCTGTAAGTAAACTGGGGAAAGACATTCATTTTTCTATTTTAATGATAGGAACACAATTTAGCTTCAGCGTTTCTCAGGAGTAGTTTAAAAATCACTACATTAGATTATGAACTTTGGAGGTCAGGGACCATGTCTTAGGCATCTCTGAATCTACAGAATACAACACTTCTCCTACATTTAATAAAACGTTAATAAATGATTGTTGGGATTCTGGTTTCGTCATGATACAGTAGCTAATATCAGATTTACCCTCCCAGCAAAAACTACAAAAGCCAGATGAAATATATAAAACAATTAATTGCAGGCATTGAAAAATGACCAATGCAGAGGTATAAGCCTTAAAAGGGAAACACGTGAGGGGTTTTCCCTGACTGCATTTCCAAACCACAGCACAGTAAAATTTTAAACGCCCAAACAATGTCATGAGGGAACTGCAAACTAAAACAACAATAAGATAACACTACATACCTATTAAAATGGGCCAAAATCCAAAACGCTGAAAACACCTAATGCTGGTGTTTTCATTCATTCATTGTTTGTGGAAATGCAAAATGGTACAGCCACCTTGGAAGACAGTGTGGCAGTTTCTTACAAAACTAAACATACTTTTACCATATGATCCAGCAGTTGTGCTCCTTGGTATTTGCCCAAATGAGTTGAAAACTTATGTCCTCACAAAAATCTATATATGGATATTTATAGCAGCTTTATTCATAATTGACAAAACTTGGAAACAACCAAGATGTCCTTAGTAGGTGAATGGATAAACTGGTACATCAGCTAGCACTCTGGGAGGCCGAGGCAGGAGGATTGCTTGAGCTCAGGAGTTCGAGATCAGCCTGAGCAAGAGTGAGACCCCATCTCTACTAAAAAAAATAGAAAGAAATTAGCTGGACAACTTAAAATACATAGAAAAAATTAGCCGGGCATGGTGGTGCATGCCTGTAGTCCCAGCTACTTGGGAGGCTGAGGCAGGAGGATCACCTG